CCTCAGGGGCTCGCATGGGGTAGCTAAACCAATGAAAATGACCACAGAACAAAACAACCATTTTATATCTTTTGAAAAAACTCTGAATGAAGGAGACTTGCGTGTACATACCTTTATCAATGCTCTTTGTGTGTCAGGGAAGGTGAAAATATGCATTCTACAATTTTCTGTCTCCAGCGGTGAATGGGGAACTGAAGACCTTCTGCTGGATTTGCAGTGTGAACACTGAGCACTTACAGTTTCCTACAAATCAGTGTATATATGACACAAACAAACCTAAAGAAATCAATGTCGCTCAGTTTCACGTGTCCCAAATTCTCTGGATATAACCACATTCTCATTCTCTTTAGTCAGGTGACAGATTTTTGTTTTCTGTAAAGCAAAGAAGGCCCACAATTCTGTAGTAGGTTCAGTTATTTATGTTAATTATATAACAAATAGAGGTTATACATTCTGAAATGAGCAGCAGAAAAATGAGCAATGGCACAAAATCACATCTCTTCAAGTTATTAGATACTATCTTCTTCCTCTTCTCCTTTTTTCTAAACATACGTGAAATTTAGCAGTTAATTAATCTAACTGGTGTCTCTGGAAAGTAGAGCATTTATTAGAAGAATGGTTAATTGGAATAATATTATATTTAAAATCTAAGCTACAAATGTAAAAGTAAAAGTGTTATATATCTAATGGCATGCTGGTGCTGACTTTTCCTGCTCGTTATAAACATAAATCAATATGTTACAATTAATAAAAAAATTTTTTTGTTGACTTTGTACAGGACCTTGATATTTTAACCCATATAAATGATTTAAGATGAGTTCTGTTGAACTTTTATCATCTTTGTTACGACCTCTTTGATGTTAGTCTAGGGTACAAGGAATAGCATTTAAAAGGTGTTGTACTTTCACAAGGTGAGGGTGCAAGCACAAGACACTAACAACAAAACTACACACAAAAGTGATTTAATGTACAAAAAGTGAAACCAGAAAAATCCCCAAATATATACACACACAAAAGGAATATTTACAATAATAAAAATAATGAAATAAAGTAGCAAATTCAAACAAAGTAACAAACTAAATTAAGTCAACTCAAGAGTAGGGGTCGATGGTGAAGCCAAATAAAAAGGAATGAAATATAACAAAAACCCTTCTCACTCATAAACAACCCCTTACCTCGCTAGAAACATGAACTCTTGCCTGATGTTTTTTAACAATGCATTGTCTACGTGTCTGCAAAATTGGTTTGTTGGAGCCATCTTGTGGTTCTGTAGCATATTCACAAGCAGATTTAAATGAAGTCTCCACCAAAGCGTTATTATTTGTTATAGTAAAAAAATTCAGAGACTTTATAAAGAGACATCATAAGGATTTTTAACATGATAGGATTCCATAAGAGAACTATTAACCTTATATTTTCCTAAGAACATTTTTAAGCTTATGATAAAGAGGATTCTATAGAAGTCCACTCTTAAGCCAAATTATGTGATTTATATGGCTTATTAAATGTAACTATTAAATCTAATTTTAATAATATACAGGGAGGTAGAATGAGGTAACTAGCTGCCCAAAGTTAAACAAAGTGACTGATGCAGATGTATGAGTGTGTGTGAATGTAAGTGTAAAGATTATTAGGTCTAAGATTATTATTAAGTATTAAGACACTAGCACTTTTTCATATTTACAAGCTTTTTGCACGGTATACTATTTTGCATTATACTGAATTTTTTTTTTTCACTACTGTTTTGCTTTTGCACACAGTTTGCACTCCTTGCCATGTGCCCTTAAGTGTAATTGTATCGTTTTTATTTTTACTTATATTTTTAGATCATATTATATGTGTAATTGTATTTATTGTATTTTCTTTTTAAACTTTTTGTATTAATTTGATCTGTTATGCACCTAAGGGTTGAGTAAGGCAATTTCGATTCCCTGCATGTCCTGGTTGAATTAACAATAAAGCTGACTTTGACTTTTAATTATGTAAAAATGTAATTCAAACACTGACAACTTCATGAAATCATTTGTCTTCCTTATGCTATTAACAACTGTACTATTGAAATAATTTGTTATTTGTCAGTTATGTTACCAACCTGAATAAACTGAAACCCAAAATGACATTATTTGGGACTATGTTTATATCGTTTATTTATTTATCTTTTGCTTGAAGGAAGCAATTTATTTTTGCTGGCTTAATGCATCACTGCTGACAGCTCAAGTCATTAACAGGATGCAAACATATACCATAATTACAATTTATTCCTTCAGTAGCACCAATTATTGCTCAGACCCTGCAAGGTAAAAAATTCCTTGGATTGTTGCACCGCATATAGATTAGAAATATAATGACTACTAAATTAAAGTTTGCAGATTTAGTGTACAAAATTATATCCACGCGTACAAACTGCCCCAGTATATACTACAGTAAAATCACATTTTAATACACTGTAAATACATGTTTGTTTGTTTTTTTCACTTGTTTCTTGTCCAAATATCTAAAAATTCCTGAATCAGGAAGCATTTTGTAGACAAGCAAAAAAATATTGTCTTGTTTTATATAATGATGTCAACCCAGTTTTTCCCTAGCAAAATAATCAGCCCAATGGGCTAAGCTAAATATTATGTCAAAAAGAAAAACAAGATTATTTTGCTTACCTCCTTTGCAGATTACTTGCTTGCTGTATGGAATAAATTTTGGCGTTTATCTTTGGCAAAAGCATTTTTGCATTGTATGTACTATCTAACTTGCTCCAAATACTAACGATTGTCTTAAAAAGGTGAATATAACATGTTTAGATTAAGCTACTTTAGGAGTGTAAGTGCACCCCAGTCTTACATTTTCATCTTTTCTTACTTTTCAGAACAGGGATTTTTGTAGGAAACACTAATGTTGGTAAGGTTTGTAATGTAAAAGCCCTGTGCTTTATTACATATCCTGAATACAGCACAGTGCACAATAAATTAAAAACCTAACTGCACATTGCTGCCCTGAAGCATCACAGAGAAAAATGCTTTCACAAAACTGTCAATGTTTCCCATTATGTATCACATTACCTACCCACTGTTTCTGGGCACTGCAGTGACAACCAGAAAATAGTCCTGCATAAATAACCAGTATCTGTCTAAAAAAATATCTTCTATATCTGGCTCAGCTGAGGCCATTTGAACTCCATTAACAACCAGTAAACGAAAAGAGTATTTGCATAAAATGTGAAGACTGCACATATATTAAGACATTATCTGAGATTTAACTTGCAATCGCTTCACAATTATATAGAAGAGTACCCAGTGGGAACAATGGGGAAAGTGATGGGGAACTATAAGAATAATGCAATAATATGTATCATTATTATTAAATTATATTTATTATATGTATATGTATACAATTTAAATATACAAACTTAAAATGCTTTTTTTATGTCTTACGAACCCCACTGTTATCTGTTATATTATTATTATCATTATAATAATTATGAATGCATCAAGGATCTAAAATCAATGACCATCATACATATATTAATCGTTCATACACTTCTGTCTGGTTCTCGATCTTAATTGGCTGATAGTCGTGCAAATATTCTTCGATATCAGAACTAGTACAGTCTTTTCACTCTTGTGTATTACTCCGCCCACATAGAGTGACAGCAGATCAATAAACTCACTACAGTTTGACGAATATTGCAGCTGTTGGACAACATAATGTACTTTTAAGGCTTTTATAGGCAAGAATGTAGTTGTTTAGATTGCAACTATGCTGTTCATTTATAAGGAGAGTGCCTATTTTAGATGTTTATATATCGGCAGCCATTAGCCTATCATTAAACAAAGCAAAGAGGGTTAACGTTGTCCAACCACAAGATGGCGACAGAAACTGCAAAATAAGCCCTTTGAGTAGAAAAACTCATAATTTCTACAGCTGATCAAATCATTATTAAACAGGTAAGAGACTTTCTAAGTCGATCTCTCTCTTTTGTAAGTTGTAGTGCTGTATATATACCATATAATTGTAGTGTATTGAGTGTGAGATGAGACTCGCATATCAGGAATGTATGTATTTTGTGTTGACCACTCTTTGTATAACCCTGAATCGCTTTTGGCCATCAGTTTGTTTTTAATGAGTCTCCTGTTTTCGTTACTGGAAACAAGCTCAGTAAAAAGAAAGAAAGAAGAAATGCCCGCATGTGTTAAACGTTTTTCCTTATCGCACAACAGTAATCTGCTAGCGTTTCATTGCTTTAGCTTTTTCGGGGTTAATTATTGTGATCTTCCGATTACAACAGAGAAATACTGGAAAATGTCTCTACACTGATGGCATTTCATGCCGTTCAGCCTTATAATCTTAAAATGTGAGCAAAATCACCTGTTTTGTCATCACTTTAGACATTACAATAGAGAATAATTCGAATACGAGCTCTAAAGTGACGTCTGTGAAGTAGTAACCGTTTCTGCTGTTCTGACTGTCAGATGCAGATGTGAATGAATGGTGGAAGAAAGTAGTTCCTCGTAATAAGATTTATGAGTCTCTGTGTTCGATTTTCTTTTTTATATACACAGGGTTATGCCATCAAACTGTTGTATAAATGCAATATCACACTCATAGCAGATGTGGCTGTATGTCAGCACTGGTGGGACACAAAGCACTCAGCTTGTGGCCTCGTACCAACGCACGTCTCCCACAAGTGCCGATAAACAGCTATATTGCCCTGCTAATCGTGATATTGCTCATATATATATACAACTATTTAACTTCGAGGCGACTTGACAAAGTATAATTCATGAATCAGTGTAAAGTTTCAAGAGCTAAACACCTGTAAAAAAAAAAAAAAAAAAACCTTTGAGAATGCCACATGGCAGGAACCAATTGCTAACGGTACCCATGATTATAATTTAAAGCTTTTCAATTTAGCTTTAAAGAGGCAATTGTATTCCAACATGACTCTGAAATCTGCATTTAATTCCACACACAACATAAATAAAGAAACTGATCCATCTGAAACTCTGCTGTGATTTCATAAAAATGTTTATTTTTGTAAGATGATGTCTCAAACTTTGCTCTACCTCCACATCACACAAACCCTGTACATTTTTATTTTATCCTGTCAATCTGTCCAGAAGGACGCTACACCACCACTGTCCATCATGAGCTGCACACACAGCATCATCAATAGGTGCCTCTCTTTGAGGGCAGAATCTAATCCGTCACCCAAGAATACATTGCCATCCTACCCAAAGCTCCTCTATTACAGCCTGTTCCAGTTCTGTGATAACTAAAACATAAAAAAAACAAATACAGAGCTGCTTGATAAAAAAACCACTGCCTTTTTTTAAAAGATGTTGTTGGTTAATGAAGAAAAGGGAAACATACAAATAGGGGGATGACAAAGTTCTTATAGTCACAAAAACCACCGATTAAAAATTCTCTGAAACAGAGACATAAGAGCCTGCAAATTTAGCACAGCTTATCCCATCTTAAAAGATTGAATGTATCCATTTAAATGATCATACGATATCATAATATGCCATAAATTTTCCATCCATAAGGAAAAAAAGTGAGAAAATGTTCAGGAAGTCTGAATTTGTAGACTCTTTTCACTGTGTTTTTATAATAATTTTGGGTTTATGATATATTTACATATTATAAATACATGAAAACATTAAAGTCAATTTCAGATGCATCACTGCAGAAGAAGCACTGCATTAACAATGTTCTTGTTGTTTTTTTTTAAATACAAAGGTATTATAAAGGTGTTTTAAGCAACAATTTTTATGAGAGATCACATTCAGAGCAAATCCTTGAGCCAAACATCAAGGAAATTGGACTGAAATGGCCATACAATGTTCTTAAAATGACAATGCTCAGTATATGAGGCTAGTTGAATAGTCCTCTTGTGGTATTTCCACAATCTTTACCAATGTCTTCATCACTGTGCGCCACCTCTTTTGAACTAGAATTACTAGGAGCAGTTTGATTTTTCTCCTTTTTTTCATCCAGCCTGGGATTTGTTGTCTCTGAAACAGGAGCTTTGAGATAAAAAAATAAAATAAAATATTCATACAACACCTTACTTTAATACTCATAAAGACAATATCTTTAATATTTTGATTTCGATACTGAATTTCCACATCTCCATGTGCATTTTGACTTACCCTTGATATCTAAATGGTGGCTACCATCAGCTTCACTGCTTCCAACAGCGTCATTGTCTTCCTCACTCAGTTCCACTATTCGTTGTCTGGCACTCTCGAAAACAGACTTCAAAACAATGGAGTCCTCGAAGATCTGAGACACAGAAAGACATTAATTACATCTTTACACATACATAGTTTTATATTTGCCAATACAAATAGCTTTTTGACTTACAAAAAATGTTCTGATTCATTTTTATTGAACTAAGTCAATAAAAATAAGTAAACAAAAATCTAAAATAAAAATCTAATCTAGACGCCACAGTGGCTCAGTAATAATTAGCACTGTCGTCTCACAGCAAGAAGGTCGCTGGTTTGAGTTTCAGTTGGCATTTCTGTGTGGAGTGTGGAGGCATGTTCTCCCCATATTCGTGTAGATTTTCACTGGGTGCTACAGGTTTTCTTCACAGTCCAAAAACTTGCTCTGTAGTTCAATTGAATAAACTAAACTGGCCGTAGTGTATGTGTGTGAATGAGTCTGTATGGATGTTTCCCAGTGGTGTGTTTTAGCTGGAAGGGCATCCGCTGTGTAAAACATATGCTGGATAAGTTGGCGGTTCATTCCGCTGTGTTTATTTATCAGGCATTCCCTGATGAATAAAAGGATTAAGCCGAAGGAAAATGAATGAATGAAATCTAACCTATTTGCATTAACACTCACTAGCCACTTTATTGGGTACAGCTCATCAATGGCAAGATCTAATCAGCCAATCAGATGGCAGAAAGATAACACATAAGCACAGATACATGCTCAAGAAGATCTACTAAAATTCAAACCTAATTTATCCTAAAACTGTCAGCAGGTTCTGTCTGACCCTCTAGTTAACGCTTTAACTACGAATGCATATTATGTCACGAGTCAAATGCTAAATCAGAGATCAGCTAAAAAGTTGTCTACAGCATGCATTCATAAGCGCGTATGGATGAGATTTATGATGGATTTATTCTCTTTTGGAAGCTTGAAAAAAAACACTACACTACACAACACCAGCAAGAAAGAGTCAGGATAAAATTTAAAACTACACTGGCTGTGTTTGTCTGAAAGAAGAAAGTCATATACACCGAGAATGATTTGAGGGTGAGTAAATTAAGGGGTAATTAGAATTACCCCATTAATTCACTCACCCTCAAGTCATCCTCTATGTATATGAATTTCTTCTGAGCTGGCCTGAGTATGTCAAAACTACTGACATTTTTTTCCACAGCCATCTCTAGAAAATAGTCTTGAACTAAAGTAAATATATAGTGAGCGACTGTTCTGAGGGTGAAAATGCCTTGTCAAAGACAATTGTAACTCTAATAACCACTTGTTAACCTCTTGTCCCAAAACTCAAATAATCTCAACTGAAACATGAGCATGAATTCACTAAACTAAAATGACCTCCACAGTCACCAGATCTCAGTCTAACAGAGCTGGAGCAGGACATTCACATCATGGATTTCAGCAGACAAATCTGCAGCAACTGTGTGACGCTGTCATGTCAATATGAGTGGTGTAGCAGATCACAAATCTCACAGTTCAGATCACACTATGGTTTGAGTCACGGATCGGACCATTTTTCAGATAAAAAAAAAGACAGAGAGAAAGTATAATTAATTTTTTTTATTTATTACAAAAACATTAGTGCAAGAAACTTTTGTTTTAACAAACAGATCCTGTAATTTTAAGAAAATTTTAAATAAGCTAAAAAAAAAGTAAAATCTTCCAGACTGTTGCTGATAATGTTAATGTATACATCTAATATTATAATCTTGTACAACACATCATATTTATTTTTAGTTTTATTTTCAATTAATTATTTAATAATTCACTCATGAATCTTCATTTTTCTTTTATTACTAGATCTACAAACAAGTTTTATTTTAGAAGAACTATTCAGTGACATATTCTCAACAGTATCTGGTGACAGGCAGGGTTAGGAGTGGGGTCCAAAGTTGGCCCATTATAACCTTTGATTTGGCCCACCATCCCACCTGAGAAGAGGGTGAAAAGGATGGATAGGGTTGGGGAGAATGCCTTTGAAAGAGATCATCCTTTACATTTGACATAACATTTTTGGTTTGTTTGTTTTATTGCTGAGCTACAAAAAAAGCAAACAGAAATTAAATGCTTTAAGTAAATGTGTAAATAATTCTGATTTTTAAAAAATGTAAATTCAGTTACTCGACGGATAGAAGTCTATGCAGAAGACATTGGTGAGCATATCAAGGCAAAACTAGTATACAGTAACTCCATTTTGTTATAAATGAAATTGAGATTGTTTTTACTGTAATAAGTTCATAGTAAAATGTAAAAAAAAAATAGTTTTTTAATTATTTTTAAATATTATTAAATAAATTAGGAAATGACCCATGGCTGCTAAATTTACCTTCAGCACTAGCCTCAAACAAGTTTGGTTTTTGGCCCTTCATAACAAAAATTTTGGGAACCCCTGGGTTAAACAATGTAATTGCTACAACTTTCAACAGAATCCAGTTGCATTAAACTGAGAATTAATTTTTTACCATAAACATCAGCGTTTATACCTGTTTATATCAGTGTGTTATTTGATTTCTTGTAACTTTGTAACTTAAACGTGTCAAAACTGAATGCAGTGCATCTATGGATTAATAAACATATTCAAATCATTATCATTCATAATTTATCTCGTGAGGGTGTTTGAATTAAGATCATGACCTTTTAATGATTAACTGTGCAGCTTACACTGAATGCATTGATGCTGGCTAAACAAGTAGTGACAAACAACACCTTCGATAACCCAAGAAATCCTTTAGATGCCTCCACAATTTCTTCTGTCATCATTACCATGGGTTGTGATCCATTACACCGCTAGTCAATATAGATCAAAATCTCTGAGATATGTTTCTTGCACCATTTTGAATCTCTGCAGCAATGACTTAGCAGAGGGCAAAGGGGGTAACATAATAAAGTAAGATGTACATGATAAAGTGGAAGGTGGGTGTAAATTTAATTCCTGTGTTGTGAGATTACATGTAATTCAGGAAAAGTATGAATGTGGAAATCGAAACATATAAAAGGTCACATCAGAGAAACAGTGAACAACCCCAATTATAACATCAACAAAAAAAATACACACACACAAATGTTTGTTTTTGTGAAAAGTGGGGACATTACATAGGTTTCCATTCATTTTATACTGTCCAAACTGTATATTATATTGCCCTCATCCCACCCCACCCCTAAACCCAAGCATCACAGGAGACAGTGTGCAGCTTTACTCTCTGATTAAACTCATTCTGTAGGATTTATAAGCATTTTGAGAAATGAGGACATCACAGATGTCCTCATATTTCACCTCCTTTTTGTAATACCTGTGTCATACCTATGTCATTATACAGATTTGTGTCCTGATATGTCACAAAAACATGTACACACACACACACACACACACACACACACACACACACTATCGGAAAAAAATTGGCTCAGTACAGGTACTAATAAAGTGCACAGAAAACAAACTATTTTGAAAGTCTTTTAATGGATAGAAAAGACACACCTGAGATCCCTCCAGATTAAATGTCTGAGCGTTGTGACACATCTGCATGATATCCTTTTCCAGGTCTGCAATGCACCTGTATTTGTGATTACGCACTCTCTCCTGCATAAACAACACAAGAATAAATTTGGTATAAGACAGGGGTTCCAAATATATGAAGAGCCCTTCTCAGGCAAAGGAAAGATTCAGACATGATTATAACGTAGTAATATGTAAAAACATGATTTACATTTTTTAATGCACTATAATCATTACAATATCTTTAATTGAATGTAAAACAATTGTTCGAGACACAAGTAACATCTGCTAGGGTTGCACGCTTTACCGGTACTATGGTGGTATCGCGATACTATGGCTCCAAAATACTGGCAGTGCCACTGTGGTTTGTAAATGGTAGTATCGTCATTAATGTTTTATCTACCATAGATAACGGTGCATGTGGAAAAGTCACTAAAATGCTCACACGTTTGTGCAACAATAGACCATTTTAGTTTAATGGTCTGTGGAGCCCTTTAAGGTTGCAAAACTGTGTAGAATTTTTGCATTTTATGGTGGCCTATTGCACATTTTTTAATGCTTTAATTCAAACGCACATCTAAATTGGTTCATTTATGTTCCTGTTAAAATGATTTAGTAGCTACAACAACTGCAACAATCTTTAAAAAAAGAACAACACACAAAGTGAAATTTTAAATTACTTTGAATTGCTACCTGACAAGACTGAAAAAAAAAGAAAAATCCAAAATAGCAACATGAAACATTGGAACATATTTTGGCCACTTCATATAGGCTAATTTTGTTGAGAAAATGTTTTGTAACAAATTTAATTCGGTATAATTTGTATCTTTATTTCAATGTATTTTTTTGTTGGTCAGTTATCTACAAAATTAACAGTGAAGTGAGGTGCAAATAATTTTAGCCTTAAGGGAGTTAGGAATTAAATTCAAGCAGACCTATTATAACATAAAATATAGAATTTCTGACAATTTTCTTTATAATTTGAGTTATGAATTACAGTCTCGCAATACTACTTGGTATTGTTATACTTCAGCTGGTATAGTATTGTAGGATTTATTAATGGCATCGCAACAACCCTAACATCTACTATAATACCATCATTTTTCTTTTAACAATGTGTAATATCACAAACGAAAAAGAAAAAAAGCAAGCAAAAGTGTGTTTTTTTCAGAATATAAGCACAATTGGAAATTAATTAATATTATAAATCACATAATACGTAAGATTTATGTGAGTTACATTTTAGACACAATGTTGCCCGTTTCTGTATGTTTCACAAAAATGTACAAAAAATATTGGGACATAATTATTTGCTGACATCATACATCCCTTTCAAGAGTTCACACTTAGCTGATGATTGATTATAAAGCGTGTTTGGCATGCTGTCCCAGGAGAGAGCCCTGAGCTCATAAGATCCTCAAGCCCGAGGCTCTATCTCATTTGCAGAGCGAGAGGGGAGTTTGAGCTCAGGTAGATCTCTGCGCTATCCCATAATGCCCCGCGAGAGAATTCACGAATGGAAGTGAAGCGACACAACTGACGCAGGTAGGTCACGTGACCATGGCAAAATAGCGGATGTAGTACATCCAAATTCCATTCATACTTTTCACATTTATACTGTATAGAACGTACTTTTCTAACGGCCGAGTAGTACATTTAAATTCAAATGCTGTACCTACTGAGTAGTAGGCAGTTTCGGACACAGCATTAATGTATTTATAGTGGCTTAGGAATCCTCTGATTGGTGAATCATGAATTGAATAATGCGGAGCCAGCTGCAAGCAATCATAAGCAAGTGATCCTCTCGAAATTAGTTTATAAATAAACTTCACAAAGTGAGCTAGGATCAACACTGAAAAAAGAATTATATAGTTGTTAGTTTGTTAGTTAGTTAGTCTGTATGATCTAGTTAACATGATTGTAATTTGGAGCAAACTAAGTTTTAAAGTAGTTTGCCCTACAAAAGGAGACATTTTTTCCTGAACCAGACTTTAACCTGCGAAAAATGAGTTTGACATCCCTTGTGTAAAACAGAACAAAGAGAACAAGAGAACAAAGAAACCGTTACATTAAAAGGATAGTTGACCTATAAATGAAAATCCTGTCATCATTTACTCCACTTCCACTTGTTCCAGACCTGTACGCTTCTTTCTTCTGCCGAACACAAGGGGAGATATACTGACTGAAGAACCTACTGAATACATATTGAAGAAAAAATGCAGCCATTGACTTCAATAGTATTTTTGTTCCTACTATGTTTGTCTATGGCTGTTCCCCCAAAATTCTTCAGAATATCTTGTTTTGTGTATGACAGAGAGAAAATATTCCTAAATGTTTAAAACCACCTTCAGTGTAAGTAAACGGTGAGGAAATTTTCAATTTACGGTGAACTTTCCCTTTAATAGCTACATATATATTTCTTACTTTACTATTTTCCTTTAAATGCCTGCAGTACATTTTAAGCAAGAACGGTTTTAAATTTTTTATTTAATCAATAAGTAAAATCTTTCACCTAAAACACACAAACCTGTGTGATCAACAAATCAATGCATTTCTTGGGTTGAAATGGATGTCAGAGTAAAGATGAAAACAGGAAAAAAGGATGGTTTCCTGGAAATGAAGTGATGGAAGCAAAGGCTCAGAACTGGACATTCAAAAAAAAAATAAGACAGAAGGGATTGTGGGATGGTGAATAAACATGCTGAGGGGATCTCAGATACTTCACCCTGATCCTCCTGAAGTCCACTGGCTTGCGGATGAGCTCGTAGTACTCCGGCACCTCTTTTCTTGAAGGCAGCTGGACAAAGCCTTTACTGATCTGTCGGCCCAACCTACAGAATAACGTTGTATTTAGGTAAAGGTAAAAAACTTTTAAAAACCTTACACATTTCATCTTGCATACAGGATACAATAGCTCTGATCTGACATGGGGGACAGTTTTCCCAAAAATGAAAATTATCCAAAATGCAGGTGATTTTCCTCTTAAGACCAATAAAGAAGATGTTTATTATTGGTGATTCACTTGAACATTATTTTCAATATTAACGTTAATCCACAGCCTGGGCAAACAGTTTATGGCGCATCCATGAATGCATTGAGTTCATGCTTTTGGTTTCTTGATGATATATTTGCAGTATACAGTGCTCAGCATATAAAAGTACACCCCTCACAAATCTATCCTTCATATTCACGTTTTATAGAAAGCTATTCAATATTATTTTTGTGCATATACATTAGATTAGGGTCACATTTGGGTCTCGGCATGGCGAAGACAAGAGAGGTAGGATCCAAGTACAGCTTAACAATAATTTAATAAAGATAGTATTCGTGCAGGTAATCTTGGACAAAAATAGGAGAAATCAGGAATCAAACAAGGCAATCCAAAATCATAGTCAAAACAGTCATAAGGTCTTAAACAAGGCATCAACTCAAAAGTATAAACTTAAACTGAGGCAAAAACACAGTGACTTGACAAGGAAACAACAAAGACTAACTGCAGACTGATTGTGTGTAGGGTGTATATATAGTCTGGATAATCAATAATTACGAGAGTCAGCTGTGCATGTGTGATCAGTGGAGTATAGTGACTGGTGTGTGTAATGGAATGCAGAGATTTGTAGTTCATGGATGAGTTTGTAGTTCACCAGCCGCTGGTGATCATAACAATTAGTCAGTACTAAAGCCAAATCTGGAGCTTATCTAACAAAATAACTAACAATAATGGTCCAAAAACTAGTACACCCAAATGTATGTGTTATAGAAAAAAATTAAAGAATCAAGAGAAGCAAAATAAATTTAAACATAAATTTTGTAGTTTTAATTTTTATTGCAATATTTTGCTTGTATTTAATTTATATTACCTTTCAATTTCTAACTATGTTTGGTGATTAAAATATTATTTAATAAATATACCTGTTTAATAAATCTGCTTTGTTTAAATGCACCAAAATACTTTGCCTATACTCACTGAGAAATGGATACAAATTATCATTTTCAAAGTGGGGTGACTCAGTTATGCTGAGCACTGTATTCGTACCAACATTAAAGCTCATAATATTGCGTTTCCTACACAGACCAATCATTTCGCTTTACAAGACATCAGTGTGTCAACAGGAGCCATGGCTATTGATTTGTTTGTATTTGTTTATTTTCAATCTCAAAAACAGATGACCGTTGGTATGAGTTATATGAATCACCAAGAACCACAGGTACGGCTAAAATTCTAATAAAGAAAAAAGTCTTCTCAGGCCTGAAAGTGAGTAAATTAACTGTAAATTCTTTTAACTGAGTAACTGAACTCTTCTTTTCAGGAATAAAAGGAAACAGCATGAACTTTAACATTTTTGTTGCAGTTCATCATTCAGTTTTAGTGTCGTTTAATAAATGCAAGCCGGTTTGTGTGTTTGATACTGACGTGTCCTTGTAGTTGATGACCATGTCTACAATGGTGTTCATCTGTTTGGTGAGTTTGGGAGGGTTGGGCGGCAGCTTTTCTGCAGGAGGGCGACCACGCCGCTTTTTGACCTTCTCCACCCCCTCTTGACCAGTCTCAGAGCCCTGGTTACCTTGTTGTTCACTTTTTCGTTTCTTTAAGTTGCTTTCCTCCTCCATAACCTCAGACACTCCGTTGTGGATGGCCTGAGACTGAGGACAAGACATAATAATCCATGAGAATGATAATGAGCGGCACCGAATTGTACTTTTTTTTTTTTTTTGCTTTTCTTAACATTGACCAATTAACAAGAAAGAGTTGTCAAGTAAAAGAGAGAAGAAAAGTTTTATTAGTTATTTTTCACCTACATTATACACTCTCAGAAAAAAGGTACACGTGGTAAAAATAATGTTCATTGAGGAACAATTTTGTCCCTTTGTAAAATATACCTTATATGGTACAGAAAAGACCTCTTATGATACTGTTCTGTGCCTTTTAAGGTACTGTCTTGCCACTCCACCAATAGCTGGTGTGTGGTGAGCGCACTGGCGCCGTTGTCCTGTGGCTACCGTCGCATCATGCAAGCAGTACGCTGGTGCTGGTGTGGAGAGTCCCCCCTCAGGATCGTGAAGAGCTTTGGGTGTATGGCCATACACACATTACATTACAACTGAAATGAGGGTACAATTGTTCCCATATTAAAGGTACATAAGTGTTGAACAACTCCTTCTTTATTACAATATCAATGAAAATAAATTTTACTGGAAAGTCAAAGTGATTTTATGAATAATTTCCATATTAAAACATGAATCATCATTTAAAAATATATGTTTAAAAAAACAAATATTATTTCAGGAGTTCACACTTAGCTGATGATTGATGATAAAGCTTGTTTGGCAGGCTGTCCTGGGAGAGAGCCCTAGGCTTATAAGATCTTCGCGCCGTGGGCTCCCTCTCATTGCAGGGCGAGAGGGGAGTTTGAGCTCAGGTAGATCTCGATGACTCCCCCTCTTGCTTATAGCTAAGTGTCAGATATGAATGCTGAGAAGAGGTGTACTCAGAGCTTGGCTAAAACTATTTTGGATTAATTGTTTAGGGTGCTTGTTTTTAAACTGTGAGAGGAAACCAGAGGACCTGAGGAAAAAAACACGCGAGAACGGGGAGAACGAGCAAAACTCTACACAGAAATGTTGCCTAGTTTGGAAAGGAATTAAACCAGCATTCTTGCTGTGAGGCAACAGTGCTAATCACTGGCCACCGTGTTGCCCGTTTGAAAGAAGGGAAAGTAGGGTTGGGTGGGTTTTTTTTTTTTCAAGACGAAGATATTGAGATGAGAAAACTCTGGTTATTTATAGTTAGTTAGGAATCGTCTGATAGGATAATTAGTCATGAGCTAATGCTGGAACAGCTGTGAACAATCATAAGCACGTGATCCTCGCGAAATTTGTTTATAAATAACCTTACTTATTAAGTTCTATAATACAAAACAACTGGTATACTATATATACTATAGGTATTGTAAACTAAACATTTAAAGCATTTTTAATAAATGTTTGGTAAGCATTTTTGACACTGTTAAGGTACGAAGTATCTTGTCACTGTGGTGGTACCTTCATCGATCAGATTTGTACCTTTGATGAAGGTACAATATTGTACCAGCAGGTTTTAAAAACTAAAGGTACATTTTGGTTTCCCAATTCCCATGGTACAAATCGTGTCCTTAAGGGTACAAACTGCAATGGTACAAATTTGCTTCTTTGTCTTAAGGTACAATTTTGTCCCATAAAAAGGTACCGCCCCAGTGACAAGGGTTTGTAATTTCTTTGGTACAACATTGTACCATTTTTTATGTTAAAACTCTCCAGCTGGATCTAGACTGATCACCCCAGCCTTTGATAATAATAATACATCAGTTTGTAATCTCACATTAATCGAAATGTAACATGATGATTATTGTATAAATGTAAACATCTGCCTCGCATTATTTGTGTAATTTGGTTTTATTTTATTATTTTCATTTATTTATTTATTTATTTATTTTATTATTATTTGTATTTATATATATATTTTTCCATTATTATTTCTGTAAGGGTTGTTTGATATGTTTGTAAAGTGGAAAAATGTTAAATAAATCATAAACAAAAAAAACATTGTACCATTTTTTTCTGAGAGTGTAATAATACTTTACAATAAGATTTACTGTTATTTTTAGAAAGTCTACCTCAACTAATAATTGAAAAATGCAATGCATTACATAAGGTATGCAGGTAATACGCTATATTAAGTAACATATACATCATTTATATAATAATAGAGAATATTAATACTAACATGAATTTTATTACCAATAAATAAGAAATATTCAGTTACAGTTTGATAGTGCAGCTTCTAAAATTAGAGATCATCAAAAATATAATGCTTAAAAAGAAAGTCAATTTGTTTTTCATAGTTGCATTATTCTAAAGGCAATATGAAGAGAGATTGATATCCATCACAGAACTTCTAATGTAGTATGTAGTGCTATACAACTATGTGTGAAAATCCATGTACTGTATTCACATGGACAAGTCTGTAATTTAAAATTAGGAGGATTTTACAACGAATGTCATAGAGAAACAACGGGTTCCCCAAAAACAGTTTTAAAGAGGCCTTATTATGCTATTTACAAGTAATTTGGTTTTAAAGAACAATAGGCTTACATGCATTCAATGTCATGTTTTCATGATGTACATTTACAATCACCTAATTTCTCTAATCAATCTAAAATTATTGTTTGCAGATGTATGGCCTCTACTATGGTCGGACGTGGTCAGATGCCTGAGTCTGTAGTGATCGGTCTGCCACAAACAGCATGTGTAAGAAACCAAACACTCATTATTAGCATATCTGAACTTTAGCTCTGGAGCCTTCCACAATCTTCAAAGATTGAACACACTGTAGGAAAGTAACAATGGCATAGAATTCACCATAATAACTTCAGCCTAGATCCAATGTTGAAACAATGGAAAACCTGATCATCAGAAAACCTACATGGCAAGCACAATTTAGCTGAACGTTTCTCAGTGGTAAAACCAATCAACATGTTGCTGTTGAGCTTAAGAAAACCATTGTTAATCAGATGCATTTAAATTACCCACCGTTGAAAATGCCACAGATTTGTTGAGTGACTTCTGCAGATAACACAATTTTTCTATGATTTATATGACATTTTGTAACAACAGTGATTATAGCGGGTATTTAATTTATTTAATAGCATAAATGCAATGCTTCTTCTAACAGCAGTGTTTAGGACTGCACAATATACAGTGCTCATAACTAAGCCCCTCACAAATATCTCTTTAAATTCATATTTGAAATAGGAAGCTATACAATATTATATTTGCGCATATACATTAGATTAGTCAGTAATGAAGCCAAATCTGGAGCTTATCTAACAAAATAGTACATCCAAATTCATGTTATAGAAAAATATTAAATACACATTTTTTAAAAAAGAGAAAAAAATCAAGAAAATTTAGTTGAAATTTTGTAGGTTGTATTTTCTTTGCAATATTTTGCTTGAAATCAACTGTATTATCTTTCGATTTCTAATAATGTTAGAGGACTAAAATATAATTTTAATAAATATATTTAATATTTATTAAATCTGTTTTGTTTAAATGCACCAAGATACATTGCCTATATTCACTAAGAAATGGATAAAAATATTCATTTTTAAAATGGGGTGTACTCAATTATGCTGAGCACTGTATTGCAAAATTATTAAAATCATGATAATAGTGTATGTAATATATGTGTCACAGACGTGTTTTAAATTACATTTACTTTATTCACTGGTTATTTATCTACATTTCACCAATCAGATGGGGCCTTACTATGTTTATCTTCATCTTTCCAGTAATTATTGTTCTGCTATTGGCTAAAGCGACCAAGGGATGAACACAGAGCTGATAATAAATACTTGTGATGGGAGTCAAGGTATTGAAAACGGCCAATCAAAGTCGGGGGGTTTTGGAGACAGTATTTTTTTTTTTTTTTTTTTCAAAAGTTAAATTAGGATTAATTAGATCTGAAAATTCTCTTAGGATGCCACTGATTAACTCTTAAATGTACATGTTAATTTTAAGCATTAAATAACTTAAACATTTTCAATAAAAAATAAATAAAATAAAAAATATACAGTTGAAGTCAGAATTATTAGCCCCTCTTTTTAATTTTATTTTTAAATATTTCCCAAATGATTTTTAACAGAGCAAGAAAATTTTCACAGTGTGTCTGTTAATTTTTTTTTTTTCTGGAGAAAGTCTTATTTGTTTTATTTTGGCTAGAATAAAAGCAGTTTTAAATTTTTTTACTAAACATTTTAAGGTCAAAAATATTAGCCCCTTTAAGCTAGGTTTTTTCGAATGTCTACAGAACAAACCATCTTTATACAATAACTTGCCTAATTACCCTACTTGCCTAATTAACCTAGTTAAGCCTTAAAATGTCACTTTAAGCTCAATTAAAGCATCTTGAAAATTATCCAGTAAAATATTATTTACTGTCATCATGGCAAAGAAAAAATAAATCAGATATTAGAAATGAGTTATTAAGACTTTTATGCTTAGAAATTTGTTGAAAAAAATCTCTCCGTTAAACAGAAATTGGGGAAAAATAAACAGGGGGGCTAAAAATTCTAACTTAAACTGTATTTACAGATGAAGTATTTAACAGAATTGTTAGCCCCTTTCATTTTTTTCTTCTTTTTTTAAATATATCCCAAATTATGTTTAACAGAGGAATAAAATGTTCACAGTATGTCTGATAATATTTTTTTCTTCTGGAAAAAGTCTTATTTGTTTCATTTCAGCTAGAAAAATGCAGTTTTAAATTGTTTAAAAGCCATTTAAAGGTCAAAATTATTAGCCCATTTAAGCTTTATTTGTTTTTGTTTTGAGTCTACAGAACAAACCATTGTTATACAATAACTTGCCTAATTACCCTAACCTGCCTAGTTACCCTCATTAGTTAAGCCTTTAAATGTCACTTTAAGCTGTATAGAAGTGTCTTGAAAATATCTAGTAAAAATATTATTTACTGTCATCATGGCAAAGATAAAATAAATAAGTTATTAGAAAGGAGTTATTAAAACTATTATGTTTAGAAATGTGTTAAAAAAATCTCTCTGTTAAACAGAAATTGAGAAGAAAAAATATATATATAAATATATAAAAATATATATATAAATACATATATACGGAACTCTTATGTCATAAGATTTATTGTTGCATTTTTTTTCCATTATTGTGCAGCCCAAGTCTCATAGCCAATAGAAATCACAGATTGCATTATGCAAATTTGCAACAGATCTGCATAGGCCAGTAACAGAAGTGAAACTGAAATAGCTAAAGACTTCAGCAGTTCAAGTCAAGTTTCAGCAGTTCAGAATGCTTTCTTTTAATGAGATGATAATACCTATTTGCTGCGAGCTTAGATCTTTGAAAGTTTGTAGACGTTTTGCATTCACAAACAGCCACAGTATACTACACACTGCATGTAAGGTAATAAGCATAACTATTAACTCTAAAATGAAGCATTGTGCTGTAGAAACGTCAGAAGTTAAAGGTTTTTGCATGGCACTGTAGATCATTTTTATTATTTAGCATTGCATTAAAGAGTCTGGTGAACTTTCTGCCCTTTCCAACTACGTCTAGCTCCAAAATGACAGACCATCATTATCTCGTCTCACCAGGCAAGCTGCCTTCAATCTTCAGTCCCCTCTAATACGAGCAGCTGCTTTCACTTCCATTTAATATTTGATAAAGCATCACTTAACAATGTGCCACGAGCTCAGGATGATCCCGCACTGGGAAAGCAGGAGCCGCTGGTACTCTGATCTTCATTCCAATTGTGAATGGAATGATTGACGTTTACGGAGATACCGATCTCCGGCCAGCGCGCCTGACATAACGGTGACGTACGGTTCACCACACACACACACAGCGCTCACCGAACATGCTCCAATAAACACGAGACTAGACGCTCATCAACATGCACACTGTTCACGTGTAAGAACAAGCAAATGCGGATTGCGCTCAGTGTCTGTGATGCCAAGTCTGTGTTTTACACAAAAGCAATTAAAGTGCAGTGATATGCCTGCCGCAGCCACTGCTGGCACAGAGAGCATATCAGGGAGAGATGAAATATGAATTCAGAGTATGACGCTATGCAGGCAATGCCAGTCTTTGATGTCTAAATCGCACACACACAATGCGTTCCCAATCGCTTAAATGCAAAGAAAGCAGACAAACCGAGACGCAATTGCACTGACGTGAGAAAACAACCCCAATCACGGAGAGGCACGTCTCATGCAACATCCAGAGAAATATGAAAAGCGTGAGCGCGCACAAAAACACACGGAAAGCATTTATTCACACGTACCCCAGGGGACCATGTGGAAGGAAGGAGGCCTAATAATCAACAGCATAATAATGGAATGCACACACACACATACACAGGCGCACACACACAAACTCGCATGCACAGGCGCACAACTGTGCCGCTGCACACAAAACATGCAGAAAGCGCATTCACAAAAGTCTATACTTGAAGCAACACGCCAAAACCCCTTTCACGCTACACACGTCTATTCCAGTAACCTCTACAAAGAAAAAAAAGAGGTGTCAGGATGCACACAACCGATTTGTCTGGGCAATGTTTCCCTTCACCAGACACAGATCACACCTACACACACACACACACCCTCTCTCACTTTCTGTCTGTGTGCCCATGTGCTGAAGCCTGGTGTGATTGCATGCTCTATGCGCAGGAGAGAGAGAGAGAGAGAGAGAGAGAGAGAGAGAGAGAGAGAGAGAGAGAGAGAGAGAGAGAGAGGAAGAGGGTGATTTACCTGACTGTGGTCTCCAGGCTGGCTCCAGTCTGGAGGAGAGAGAATTAGCAAACCAGCATTGCAGCGCGCAGCCAGTCTCTTCATCAGCTGATCACTCAAAACCCACAGCCCGAAAGGGGGGCGAAAAGCGCCCAGCTTTTCATACACAAATCAATTGCCGTTAGGATGTTGAGAGAGAGAGAGAGAGAGAGAGAGAGAGAGCAGAGAGAAAGGAATAACTGCGAGATGCCTTTCTGCTAGTTTGTCCCCGTGGAAAGGCCTGCAGCTCGCTTTTCTCTCTCTCTCTCTCTCTCTTTCTCCCTCCTTTTCTCTCTCACTCACTGCATGTTTTAATATCGACTGTCGCAATCTGGTTTCTTTTCCTTTTTTCCCTTTCCCCTCTCCCTCTCTTTTATGCTCTCGTTCTGTCTTTTTTAAAACGCCCCTCTGTTAAAAGAAGCCGGGCTCCATTTTTGTGCCTATGCAGATGGTTTTCTGCAAGCTTTTCTGACATCTTGAGAGAATTCCAGGGTAGTTAATGCTGTGTCGAACACACTCTCACACACACACACACAAAAAAGAAAAACAACTGGCTAATGGCATGTTTATTTCTGTGTCTGGGAGCTTTTACAACATAAAAGAGCATGGGGATTCTGGTCAAATCATTTGGGGCTATAAATATTACCAGATAGTCTAGAACATAATAGGTTCTGTCTGCTTCACATCGAGAATCGAGATGAACAAATCATAAAGCAGCTTCCCGTGTAGCATATGTTTAATTATTCTTATGCCGTGTTGGTTTTAAAGGCTCAGTGGTATCCTAAAATCAAATATGTTTGGTCGATGTTAGACCTAAAGGACTTGAATGAACTGGTATGGCTGTGAAAATGTTTGGTAATGAGATATAATGCTCAAGTCTAACATAAGTAAAGATATAAATCCGAATGTAGAATATCAATGAAACAAAAAAAAATCATCTTGTGTCTAAATTACGCAACTCTTAAAAACAAATGTTCCTAAAGGATGTTTTTGTACTGATGCCATCGAAGATTTTTCATTTTGGGTTTTATAAAGATCCTCTATATGATGAACAGATTTTATTTTATTAGTCTGAGGAACATTCTTGTAATCTAATTCAACATTTTTCACTATAAAAAAAATCAAAAATGAAAATGTTTCATGAATGATAAAGTTTACATTTATTTTATACTGTTTATATAAGAGTGTTTCTCATACATCTACTTAAAATTCATTTCAACAACATAGTGCACTGCTAAAATGCTTTTATTACTTTTTTACAGTTTTTTTTTTTGTATTTTTTTAGTCCAAATATCTAAAAACTCTTATATTAAGTATTTTCTAGACAAGCAAAACATAATGTCTTATTTTCAGAAATAATATGCCAATATTAAGTGAGTTTTTCCTTAAAACAAGCAAAACAATCTAGTTTTTCCTTTTGACATAAGATTATTTTGCTTACCCCATTGACAGATTATTTTGCTTGTTTTAAGGAAAAACTCACTTAATATTGGCATATTATTTCTGAAAACAAGACATTATGTTTTGTTTGTCTAGAAAATTCTTCTTGATTTAAGAATTTTAGATATTTAGTCTAGAAAAAAGGACAAAAAATCCAAGTAAGAAAAGCTATTTTTGCAGTGTGTAGCTTGATAAATAACTCCACACAAGCAGAATCTTACAAGAACTGTGAGAATTGTGACAGTAAGCTAAACGTCCACCTCTGAATAAATGTCATGTGCTATCTATTTTAGCGTTTTCTGAAGTAATTCTTAATGAAAGCTCAGTTTAATAAACTGCCAAAATTTCTAGTGAGGTTAAATTGCCATCTGTCATCAAAAAATTCTACTATTCGTGAGTCATATTCCTGCTTTCAATACTCTCCTAATATTCATTCAAGAAGTGACTGTTTAAAATAGGATGAAACAATGTTCATGTACATTCGCCATGGCAACGGCATCGTTGTTTAATTTATCAGATAATCTTATCAAATTTCTGACAAAGTTTCTAAATGTCGCTGGACCGCAGAGGAGCGGATCTGACTAGTGTATGGTAAGTGTTGTGGTATGATTACATGCTGTCATAATTTTACATTTCATATGCATGTTTTGCTATCAGGTCGACAAGGGCATTTTGGTAAAACATCTCTGGCGGTTACTATGGCAACACCACGTTTTACTGGCTGCAGACCGCACTGAGCTGTAATGCTATAGCATTCCATCACAAAACACAGACACACACTTCGTCGTACAGACTCACTGAACTGCACATTCTCAAACACAATGAGCCACTGAGCTGCAATCCAAAGACAAAAAGACGAGCTGAATTCCAGAGACATGCTGAACTGAACTAAGCCAAGATCTAATGAAGACAGTGTAACTGATTGCATTTACTGTAAACAGATCATTCATTATGAAGGTATTCAGACAAACAAAAAATATTGTGTAATACGATGTGTCTTTTAGCTGACAGCTTTATATTTGCCTTTCTGTACATTTGAACTGATTCTGTATCAAGTATTGATTGTCAGATGTTTTAATGTGTGTTTTGTGATGAGTCTTCTTTGTTGCTTTCACAATTACAAACATGATTGTGCAATCTCAAAAAATGTCCTCAGTTTGAATGTCATGATGCCGAGTACGTTTGTACTCTCACTGGCCACTTTATTAGGCACACCTTACTATACCGGGTTGGACCCTCTTTTGCCTTAATCCTTGGTGCAATAGATTCAGCAAGGTACTGGAAATAATCCTCAGAGATTCTGGTCCATGTTGACATGATGGCATCATGTAGTTGCTGCAGATTTGTCAGCTGCACATCCATGATGCGAACATTCCGTTTCACCACATCTCAAAGGTGGACTGAGATCTGGTGACTGTGCAGGCCATTTGAGTACAGCTAACTCATTGGCATGTTCAAGAAACCAGTCACGTTTTATAACATGGCACGTTATTCCTGCTGGAAGTAGCTATCAGAAGATGGGTACACTTCCGTCATAATGGGATGGACACGGTCAGCAACAATACTCAGGTAGACTTTGGCATAGACACAATGCCTAATTGGTACTCATCACAGCATTACACCACCACCAGCCTGAACTGTTGATACAAGGAAGGATGGATCCATGCTTTCATGTTGTTGGAGCCAAATTCTGACCCTACCAACTGAATGTCGCTGCAGAAATCATGACTCATCAGACAAGGCAACATTTTTCCAATCTTCTATTGACCAATTTCGGTGAGCCTGTGCTAATTGTAGCCTCAGTTTTCTGTTCTTAGCTGAAAGGAGTGGCACCCAGTTTGGTCTTTTGCTGCTGTAGCCCATCCGCCTCAAGGTTGAAGGTAGTGTGCGTTTAGAGATGCTCTTCTGCATACCTCGGTTGTAACAAGTGGGTATTTGAGTTGCTGTTGTCTTTCTATTAGCTGAAACCAGTCTGGCCATTCTCCTCTGACCTCTGGCATCAACAAGGCATTTGCGCCCACAGAACTGCTGCTCTCTATATATTTTCTCTTTTTCAGACCATTCTCTGTAAACCCTAGAGATGGCTATGTGTGAAAATCCCAGTAGATCAGCAGTTTCAGAAATACTCAGACCAGCTCATTTGGCACCAACAACCATGCCACATTTAAAGTCACTTAAATCACCTTTTTTCCCCATTCTGATGCTCGGTTTGAACTGCGGCAGATGGTCTTAACCATGTTTACATGCCTAAATTCATTGAGTTGCTGCCATCTGATTGGCTGATTAGAAATCTGCGACAACTAGAAGTTGGACAGGAGTACCTAATAAAGTGGCCGGTGAGTGTATTAGTCCATATAAATATGAATAAAAAAATCTTAAATTACTTAAGAAAATTATTGTTTGCATTTACAAAAGAAAAAAAACTTTTTGATTAAAATAAACAAAGATACTGGGTGACCAGTGATTCTTTGCATAATGTCAAAAATATGATGTCTAAAAATGTAAATTTGTATTCTTTAAATGAAAAAAAGATGCAATGCAAATTACATCTGTTGTATGTTCATTTATAGGTTGCTTAGCAAATATTTTTTATAATCAAGTGCAGGCCCGTGCAGAGACCGTCCAAAGGGCATGTGCAGGATAAATTTTACGTACTCAAGATCAGTGTTGTCGTGGGCCTACTGAAGGGCTGGACGGAGGGTGTGTTGCGTCGCGGGGGCACTTTTGATCATTTTGGAAGGGCACTTTCTATCCAAGACTAAAAAGGGCATGTGCACTGCACAGGTTGAGCCCTATGTGTGCACGTGCCTGATCAAGTGTATTTTCCAGTCTTAGTTCTCAGTTATCCTCTCTTAAGATTAGTACTTTAAAAACTGTCCATGATATTTTTGCTCTACACAATTGTTCTGGTGCCTACAAAATTGACATGATGTCTGAACAATCAAACGTCCTTCACACTGCATGTGGACGCTGTGGAGTGGCGTCTCTTATCAGCATTGTAATAATTACCCATCTGTTTGTGTCAGGACACCATAACTCTCAGTGGGGTTAAAAAGTGCAGATCA